AGGCACATGAACCACAAAAGCCTTAGCAAGACAAAGCCATGTTTCACCCCGCAGTCCCAAAGGCACATCTGCAGGGTCTGCCCTGGGCCAGGGCCACAGCTCTTGGCCTCCTCCTCGCCCCACACGATTGCCGCCATTTTGCAGCCAGCACAGAGCCTCACAACTTGAGGTGCCCTGGCACTGGAGCCAGCATGGCGCCACTGGGCAAGCCGCTGCCTCAGCATGGCTCCTTGCCAGCAGCCCAATGGCTGCCTTGTCTACCTGCACCTGGGCAGGATAGCAGAGGTTATTGCCTCATGGGGCTGGGGCACCATGGCGGCCCTGAGCCTGCCTAGCCTGCTAGCAGCGCTCACCTCCCTCCTGGGTCTCTGCCTCAGCTTCACCTCTCACTGCCTCTCCTGCCACCACCCCCTGGGCCTCAGCCGTCCCTCAGTCCCACCACCGCGCTGGCCCTGCGGCACTGCCCATCCACATCCCCCCCCGAGACTTCCTTCCTCCCGCCGCCGTGCCTTGGGGCCTGGGCCCCACCGTCCCTCGGCCATTTCACACCTGCTGGAAGAGCACTCGCCCCATCCCTTTGCCCTGTTATTTCACAGTAATAGGAAATTATTTTGGTTTCCCTCTCTTTCCTGTCAGCTGGGTCCAAGGCTAGTCTTGGCTCTCCCTAACAGATTTACCCTCTCCTTCTCCCCTGTACCTCTCTGCCGCTTCACTCTCCCTGTGTTTCTGCCACCCTCTGTGTGACAGCAGACCTTGTGGCTGGCAATCCTGTGTGGCAGCATCGACTGTCACAGAGGGTTAAGGAAGATCCTAAATTCGTTTAATACTTCTTAGCATCAAGTCTAACTGCTGTAGTATACCCACACTTCTTAGTTTTCTTTTTCTCTGATCCCATTTCTCTTTTTCTTTCTCAGTAGTTTAAATCCCAACGGCCAGGTACACGTTGGAGGCAAAGTCTGGATTTTAAGACCTGCTCACCATGCGAGGCAGTGGTGCCACTGCCGAGCAGCCATCCTGCATGTCTGTGCTGCCTGGGTGCAGGTGACTTTCAGGCAGTAGCACCACAAGTCTCGGCCAAAGTGTGGTGGCAGCACTCGAAGCCATCCATTTCTGGCAGCTTGCTGCTCTGCTCCAGCAGCTCTTGCCCCTGTGCTGCACTCTGGTGCTCTGGTACTCACACTCAGACGAGAAACCAGCATCCACCTCAACCTCCGCTGCACCTACACCAGCCTCCCTCCACACCGCCCGTAGGCACGCACTGCACTCCTGCCTTTATGTACACACCTGCCTAAGCACACAGGCACAGGACCGAGTGCTGCCTTTTGGGATTCTCACTGTCAACGATCTTGAGGATTAGTCTAGAGTACTGAAATTGAAGTTTTTTCAACTTCAAACAGCGCCTTGTCATTGATAGACTTTTCTGGACAAGTAACTGCTGCTTCTCCACAATTCCCTTTGTTGGCATGAGCTACATGCCTATCTACTTCCAGCAGCCTGACCCTGTCCTCTGCAGTGCCTGGTACACTCCCCATCCAAAGACATCCACAACCAGACGAGAAATTTTCTGTTGAAAAATACTTGTTTTGTTCATTTAACTCCAAAGTGGCTACAGTAAAAGACTGTACTATCTTTAATAGGATTTTTCACAGAAAAAGGGCAATATTAAGCAATTCATGGAAAAATATATTTAAGATTAGAACCATAAGGCTCACAACAAACATCTCTGAGAATCTTCAAGTTAGTCAAGTGAGTAATTTTTTTTAAGACATATTAACATACTTCCATGAACTACCTTCCCTTTCAGTGAGGACGTTTAACAGAAGGAGTAAGAATCAGCACAATAGTAATTAAATACTTCTATTTATTTCTTCATTAATACAGTATTTCCTTCCCCACAAATGAATAAAAAGAACCACTCATCAGACATTTACTGAAGAGCTATCAAAATATGCTGCTATTGAATGTTCCTTCTTTTGAAAGACAGTCTGCTTTAGGTTTGCTCAGAAACATCACTGCCTTCTACAGAATAATGAACTTTTTTTCCCCCCAACCTAAATATCCACAATGGATCCAAGGCACATAACATTGTATTAATTTTATAAACCAGTTTTAACGCAGTGCTCAGAACAGAAATATACCACATCAAAAGGTATAAGAATTCTTACTTGAAGAGAAAGTTTATTAACGATAAGATTAAGCTACTGTCAGAAGGTGAATTATTCTACAGGTGAAGATTAGAGTTTTGATTTCTTCTGAAAGAAGCTGACAATAGCATTTATACATTCATCAGATAACCACCTCTCCTTCAGGACTTCACACTCTTTACTGTTGACTGTATGGAGCTTCTCCTTTTCAATACTTCGTAACAGTTGCTTTGACACTGCCAAGGACTGGAGGAGAGAGAGAGGAACATTAGGAAGTTATGTTTTCTATACCTTAATTTAATTTAATATCTATAATTTCTGTATCTTAATTTCTATACCTTAATTTAATGTTGCAGAAAACAGCACAATACACACACTGGAATTCAAACTGAGTCATATTAACATCATACTTTTTAGCTTTTAGTCAACCTTTTTGCTGGAAGTAATTATTGCATTCAGCTACTAAGACTGGTTATAAGCTGGAGGAGGTTCATGGGAAGAGAAACAGCAGTCCACTAAGTGCTCATCATTAGAGTAGATGGGCATAATAGGCAAAACCTGTTCAACTGTCTGCTGTGCCAAATGCTACCTGCGTTATCAGCAGCTGGCACAAGTGTCTCCTCTGGTCCAATGTAACATAGTACCGCTGTGACCCAAGTAGTTTTGCAAAATGTAAACTAGTGAGCAGGATGACCGACTCCAGCAAAAAGGAAAGCCACAGTGCACATGGTACAATTAATACTGTAGAACCAGTGGTAAGGCTCTTAAACCTAAATTATTGGCCAAAATAAACTAAGAGAAGGTATCCAAGGCATGCACACAGAGATTGCAGGTGGATCAATTACTTTTCAGCCACTGAATCTCTGTGTACACTGCATTGTGTTACATTCAGCTGGGGCAGAAGAGAGGTATCTGTTTCCCAGCAGCAGAGGGACAGGGACAGATCTGTGCTTGAAGGAAAATATATTTTGCCTTGTTATTTCAATTAGGGATGAAGTGACACTAAGTAACAGGACAGGTTTGGCTGAAGGATTAGGAACGCTACAGGCTTACAAGGTGGAGAAAAATTTTAAAATACTGACATTTTTGGGAAGGCTTGCATAAGCTTCTAATCTCGCCCAAACTTCCTTCTGGAAAGTCCTGTCAGGGAAGACTTCAGTCACAAGCCCTTGGGCACAGGCTTCTGCTGCAGTCAGCTTTTTACTGAAAAGCAAAATCTCATTTGCCTGTATAAAGAAAAGAGAAAGTGTGATTCAACAAGACACAAGACTTGAGTAATCTGACAGGAAAGGTACAAGCTTCCAAGCCATATTTATTTTACTCTCTTGCTGATTAATGCCTGCCCTCTGAAAAGAATCACAGACAGATGAGGTTGGAAGGGACCTCCAGACACTGTCTAGTTCAAGCCCCCTGCTCAAGCAGGGTCAGCTGGAGCAGGCTGCCCAGGACTGCGTCCTGTTGGGTTTCGAGTGGCTCCAAGGACGAAGACTTCACAGCATCTATGCACAACCTGTTCCTGTGTTTCACCACCCTCACTATAAAATTATTTTTTTATGTTCAGATGGAATTTCCTGTGTTTCAATTTGTACCCCTTGCCTCTTGTCCTGTCACTGGGCACCACTTACAAGAATTTGTCTCCATCTTCTTTACACCCTCCCAACAAGTATTTATAAACATTGTTAAGATTGCCCCAAGCCTTCTCTGCTCCAGGAAGCACAGTCCCAGCTCTCTCAGCCTCTTCTCATATGTAACACGCTCCAGTGCCTTAATCATCTTCACGAATCTTTGCTGGGCCTCCTCCAGTATGTCCATGTCTTTCTTGCAGTCAGCGCCCAGACCCAGATCCGGCACTCCAGCTGTGGTCTCACCAGCGTTGAGCAGAGGGGAAGAATCACCTCCCTCAGCCTGCTGGCAATGCTCTGTCTCGTGCAGCCCAGGACACCATTGGCCGCCTTCGCTGCAAGGGTGCGCTGCTGGCGCATGGGCAACTTATCGTCCACCAGGATGCGCAGGTCCTTCTCTGCAAAGATGCTTTCCACCCAGTAAGCCCCCAGAGTGCACTGCTGAGTAGGATCACTTCTTCCCAGGTACAGAACTTTGCCTTTTTCTTTGCTGAAATCTATGAGACTCTCCCATTTTCCAGCCTGTCCAGCTCCCTTTGAATGACAATGCATCTGGCGTATCTCAGTTTTGCATCACCTGCTGAAGGTGTACTCAGCCCCATCACCCGGGCCAGAACGAAGAGGTTAAATAAGTATTAGACCCATTATCAACCCCTGAGGTACACCACTAGTGACTGGCCTCCAGCTCCTATTGTTCACCAAGAGTCTATGTGTCTTTTTAAGCAGAGCTCCAGGCTTGTCACCTGAAATTACCTCACCATAAATGCATTCGTTCACTTCCTAAAGTGACTCCAAGATTTCTAGAACATGTACTGCTAGTCTATCTCTCACTGAACAGACTACCCTTGATACCTGGATGTTTATAAAGCACTTGCTCTACTCCTTACAGATCTAAATGCTGCTCAGCAAAAATACATTATATTAATGCAGGCAATAATATCAGATAAGTATTTGAAACTATCCAGGTATTTTCTGTGGGATATCAAAAGAAGCAGAAGGGGAGTACGCCATTCTGAAAAATGAAAGTTTAGATTCTGCTGTCCCTCCTTTTTTTTTTTTTTTTCCTTTTTCATTCCTGTTATCTGTTTCCCTTATTTCTAGAGTAGAAAGAGAAAATAAGAGTATGGACAGAAGACCAAGATATATTAGAACAAAATAGATAATATAAATGATCTGCAAGTAAATACATAAATGAATTGCTTCACATTCACAGTTGGAGGAATGGTTGAATACAAGCTTCCCACAGGGCTGGCAGAAGCCCTGCAAGACTTGCTCCCTTGCCTGATGAAGGCAGCCTACCAAAAACATTTCTTACGAGTGCTCTTATTTTCTCTTTTTAACCCTTCTTTACATCATTCCCTCCCATTGCTGGAAGAAAAATACAACCTTTCATCACATAAAAACTGTCTCAACAAGGTGGAGGAAGCCATGAGAAAGAAAACCTTCATCGGTGTCACAGATATGGCTTTAGAAGTGGTCACTGCTCTGTTATGGTGCCTGTCCCGACACTGTCATTTACATTTCTTGATATTTGGTTCAAAAGATGTGAACAGGACCTTTCTTTGAGGACTCTTGCTGTGACTCTCTTTGCTCTTACAGTTGGAGGATACCAACACACAAAGGTTAGATGATTCCACATACAGTGCAGACATTCTTACCTTGGCTAAGCCCATGATTTTTGGAAACAGGTAAGAGGAACATCCTTCTGGGCTCTGTCCAAGTTGACTAAATGGGGTCTGAAATGTAGCCTAGGGAAAAAAAAAAAAAAAAAAAAAAAGGACCAAACAAAGCAAACCTCACAACAGAGCACAGCACAAAAGTATTAGGATTTAGTTTTCTTTTTAAAGCTTCTACTGTGATAGAGTTTACCAGAAATGCATCTCAACTGCTACCATAACAGGCGTTATACACCATCCGGTAACACTGCTTCATCCTCTCAATGCACACAAGAGCTGACTTTGTATAATCCAATTTCCTTATCATAACAACCCCATTGATGAAGTTATCTTATTTGAATACAGCTTTTAGAGAAACTAATTTGCATGTGCAAAATCTTTACAGAAAGGATGTTCATACACATCTGCCCTAAAATTTATTAAATATATAGCCCAAATTACATAAGAGGTAAAGAGCATTTTGCTTTCTGAAGGCACACTGAGTCTATTCTACTCATGAAAAATTCAAGTCCCTGAATCTTCTTTCCTCAAATTCTATACAAATTTAAAAGAACCTGTGGCAGAAATGCTTCATGAGATCATAGGAAACAATGCCCTAACTGCAAGTTCCAACTGAACTACAGATTTTTATGTCTTAACAACTCACATCAACTTTAAGCAAGGAAGACAAAATACTTGCCTTTCCATTTGAAAAATATGAACCAATAGAGAAACAGTGCAAAAGTTGCCAAGGCAGCTTTCACTGTAATAGAAGGTAATCATCTCTTACTGTACTACAGCTGGCCATGCAGTAAGACAGATCAATAGACTTCCTAGCAAGACAGCGACGTTTATATCATCGTGAGAAAAGGCTAGACAACATCTGCCAGGGTACAGGCTAGCATTAATCATGCTTAAGCAAGGGGAGATTAGCTATACCAGGAGTACAAACTGGTAGCCCATGAACTGGATCAAAAGCAGTGCAGAAGGCCATGTTGACTGACCACCCAAAATAGACTGAATAAACCATGCACATTATACAAGCATATGTCAGGAGTGACACGGTCCTAGCTGATCCTGTAATGGTGCAAGCAGAAGGAGCTGGTCCCTTGTAGCTCAATCTCTCTAGGTCTCAGTGACAAACTCAATCCAGCAGGGACTGTGAGGAAAAATCTGACACAGCGCTGAAGCAGGAGTCAAAAGTACCACCCATCACAGACACTTTCGCAAGCAAAAGCTTCGCTAAAATTAATTAAGACCTCGGGTTAAGTTCCGTATCTGTTTAATAACCTTATACAAATGAACACCAGAGAACATATAATAAGCCATATAATGGGATTCTGTGCTACGCCTTAGTATAGCTTTTGGTGATGTATTTGGCTAGTTACATTGAAAGGAATCTTACGCTGCATACATCCAAGCTTTTCCAAAGTTACTTTGGAACACAGATTAGATAAAATGCCAGTTACTGCACTTCCATTCCATAATAGTCTTTTGCTCCCCCTCCCACACCTGACAGGGGCCTTACAACCATCATTTCACATCAGCTACTCTTTACTGTATCCACTGATACATTAAAGAGTTTCTGAACTGGAGTCAGTAACTTGATAACCATAACTACAGCAGGGAAATTCCATGCATGTTAACCTCTGGCTGATGCACACCTATGCTGGTAATTAATATACATTTTCATCATGTGATATAAAAAGCCTTTACACCTCTGTGTTCTTCTCTGTCAGATTACCCCAAACCACATAATATTTGCTAGAGAAATAGGCTTAAAGACTGCCTTGGGATCAGCTATGTAATGTACTTACCCTGTCAGAAGCATAGACAATGTCACACAACCCAAGGACTGTTACGCAGACTCCAATCGCTGGGCCATTTACCACTGCAATTAGTGGTTTAGGAAAATCAATGAAATGACCCACAAACTCTCTAGAGAGAAGGAAAACCAGAATGTAAGAGACACAGCCTAATCTTTTTCATCAAACATAAACAACATTCAAAAACCGTGATAAGATACTGCATAACAAAACCAAACAAGATTCTACGTAGCATACGTTTTTGACGCCCTCCCAAATGAATTCCAACAAATAAAATAACTATTTGAAATACCTGCATTTCCTTACCAACTGAGAATCAAACACGTACATGTCAGCACAGCTCTCCTAGTTTCTGCAACCAAGTTATCAAAGTGCTGCCCTTTCAGCTACAGTTACTGAATACAGGTCACTAACAAGAATGGTTTTGTGCCCTGTCGTAACCATCTGCCTATACACCCATCCCAATTCCACCCATGGGTTATCCATTCCCTTCACAGATGCTGTTCTGCAGTGAAGCTCCAGCAGGCACCAAAATTGTAATGCTACCACAACACAGAATTCCACTGCATGGGTTTGAGAAATTGCATTTTGTTTCATTCGACAGCTACTTCTCCATCCAAGAAGTGCAAAACACATTCTCAAAATACAGTGTTTTGAGAGTGAACAGCGTTAAGAACTCTACTTCTCTGGCATCTCTCTGCATCAGCTGTAATGAGGCACTGTGCACAGCAAATACAGTCTCCTCACAAGAGCAAGATGAAAGACCACACAGCACATGTGAGATTGTGCATTGTATTGAACACCCTACAAAACACTGCAGGCCGGAACGCTTGCCAGGTTCCACTGAGTAACATCTTCGCAACAAATTCGGACTGCAACGTTATCAGTTTGTAGGGGCAGCTGTGATCCACAGACAGCTTGCCTAAGTAAAAGCTGCAAAATTGAGTACTTTCCTTGCAGTTCAACTTTAAAATATAAATCAAAAACATTGTTTGCTTTTCTGTGTATTTTAGATTTTCCATCAACTGCAAGTGCTTGAGGGAGCAATCCAACTTGCAAACATCTCCCAGATGTAACTGTCATATACAGAAGTAAAAGAGAAGACAAAATCTGCTTAAATAGGGAAGAAAGAAACATGTTGCTCATCCCAAAAAAACATTTAAGCCACTGTGTCAGATGATGCCCCTGATCTCCTTGGCCTTAGAAAATACATCAGTTTAACAGGTAGGTTCAGACTCAAAGATGGAACCAAGATCTCACAATTCCTGGGCAATTCTGAACAAGTTCATTACATCTAGTCTCTATTCGAAGAAGCTTGACAGTGAAGGTATTTTGTCACGTCCTGCTACTATAGACACTGATAAGTATCAAAAACCCCATAAATTTTTAATTGCAGCTTACAAACTATAGTCAAGATCATGTTTTTGTCATTATATTTGCATGTACTTTGGGGACTAAAAAACAAAATTGAGTCTTTAGCATAACTGTACTTAAAAAGATCTCTAATACTCTTATTTCCTCATTTATTTCATACAATTAATACTTCTCCCAGACGATCTTTGTATTTATGCACATGTTGAGCTCTTAGACAGTCATCTAAATGGATATATCGTAGCATAACTGGGTCCCTGCTGTCGTATTTTCTAACAATGCCTGCAAATCATATTTTACCAATTACAGTAAGTTATGCATATATGAAACAAAGATGTTCTACTTCAGTAATTCTGCTCCATCTTTTGCCATCTTCTCCATTTCACTGGGCTGGATATTAGTAAAATTATTCAGATCGTTTCCACTACTATAGTAGTCTCCATTTCCTGCAAAGAACACACATGAATAAATGCACCAATGGTTTCTGAGTAGGTAAGACAAAAGAAGCTTCCATTTATTAAATTTACAAATTAATTTCATTCTAAGTGTCTAACATTATTATGTAATTAGAGGGATTGTCTCAAACATACACAGTATCTTAAAGGACATTTACAGTTTAAAAATAAGTTTTGACTGACAATTCACTGAAAAACAATAGCTAAAAGACAAAGAATACTAAATTTGAAAGATCTGAGGGGGAAAAAATAATTTTTTTGTTTTGGTAACAGTGTCAGATGGAAAAAAAATTAATTTTATTTCTTTCCCCACATATTTGCTCAGGTTTTTTTCTCTCAATTCACAACCATTCACACAGTAAGATGACAGATACTTTTTTTAAAACAGGAAATGTAAATTTATGCATCTTCCTTCATCCTCCTTCAAACAGAGAAAGGAACCAAAAGTAGGCACAATAACCTATTTAATATGTGGTAGAAGTTTTGTGGGGTCTATGACCAATTAAGGAACAGGTGTAGCATTCTAAGGATAGGGCTGACAGCCCATAATTGCTTAAATCATCCCACGTTCCTTGCGGACATTCACAGGATGGGACCGTTCACTGGTTTGCACATTCATTACGTTACGCTGCAGTGCTCTGACTACGTAAAAATGGAATAGACAGGTTTGCGCAAGGGTATTTGCTATTTACTCCTAGCTATACACGCGCTAGGCATTCCAGTTGTGTGAACTACCCTTCTCATTTTGTAAAGGTTGTTGTGCCTAGTCACTGCTACTGAAAGGAAATTCAGCATCCTGGGAATACAAGGTGTTGGTAAAGGCGACAGTGGAGAAGAATACGTATGCAATTACCTCAGAAGTAATGAGCAAACGGGCTTAAGCCCAAATTCACCTTGCGTCCACACTACTTAGCGACAAGCTGAAGCTCAGGCTTTGGCTTATTTCCTAAACGCATGCCTATTTGCAACAAGGATGGGCCAGACAGGCAGCACCTGCCCTCAGCCATTCTGTCCCTCCTGCCTGCCCTTGTCACCATGTCATTCAGTCAGCATCACAGACAGACCAAGGGTCCTCTAGAGAACCCAAATGACATGTCCCCAGAGCAGCTAGACTTCACAGACAGCACAAGCTTGGGCTGCCCTTTCACCTTGTCGTTGCAGTCATCCAGCTGCACACGTCTGGTGACTGGGAGGTACACAGCTGGGCCAGGCTGCAGCTTGCCTGGCTAATCCTTTCCTACAGCAGCCAAAGAAAAAACCAATAAGCAAATTTTTTTCTCATGATCGTAGGTAAATAAGCAGTGTGAACTTTCTCCTGGCCATGCCAGTGTGCGATTTGAAGGGCTTGATTTTAGTATGTTCAAATGTATTGCAGAGGTAGAAAAAATTGACTAAACCCATACCAACCAACTTCAAAAGCAGTAGTGACCATACTGTGGAACACATATCAGCTACTCAAAAGTAATAAAGCCCTTAGGAGTGCTCCACATCTATCTTCTCATCTCAGAAAGACGTTTTGATGTAACAGCAAGCTTGCTAAAGGATTTGAAACACCACCTTGAAAGGATTTTGCCAAAACACTTCGGTTTATACTACAGGAAAGAACTTCCCCACTTACGCAATTCTATCTTAGTCTAAGTATAGGTAGATAGTTCACATCAGTACTGTACTTTGGCATAACATAAAACAAATCTGAGAGGCATATGAAGTGTGGTACCAGTAATAACTGCTATGGTAGAATCATCTTTTCCAGCTTCTTCAAGTGCTTTGATAATTTCTCTGTACATCTGCATAAGAGGAAAAAATCAACAAGGTACAAATGTGATGTTGCAAAAGATCATAAAAAGGAGATTCACACTGACAACCAGGAACTTTAGAGACAGATTAACTACAGTCCTTTAAACTATGAAAAAAAATTGCATCCACAGAAAGTTAAGTATTATATGTAAGGTATCTCTGACCATAAAGACACACGCTCAAGACTTCCAATGCCAATCTAAAGAACAAAATAGGGTCCTTTGGAAAACAGACATTAACTGGAAACAACTAATTTTAAAACCTGAGAAGTAGTTTAAGCAGGCAAAATGATCTATTAAAGAATTGGCAGCAGTGGGGTGAAGTCCCTGTTCTGGTACCTTTGCAGTTTGTGAAAGAGGACGATCCCGTTTCCAACAGGATGGATTTCCTCATGAAGACAGCTATGGGAACCAGAAGACTCTCTAGACACACATACAACAGCGCTGAGCCAAAGCAGTCTGCGCATGTGCTGTTATATGTAAGGCTACAGTCAAATCTTGTCTCCACAAAACAGGCTAGTCTTCCTACAGTTTCCCATTTTAGTTCAGTGCAGACCATAATCCTATAATAAGTTTGAAAAAACCCACAAGACACAGAAAAGCCCAATCCATAAAATTTTAGCTGAATGGTTTCATTTTGTCCTGGATATTTTTATTCCTTAGGTTGTCATTGGAGTCAAGATACTAAGCCCTCATGAAATTCAGACCACCATGCTTCAGTCAGTTCTGCTAAACCTGTAGTAATGATTCTTTAAAAACTTAAGTAGCGTACCCATGAAAGAAAAAACCATTAATCCTCCCCAGTTAATTTCTTTACCTTCTGGTTGATGGCATTTTTCCTATCAGGTCGGTTAAACATTATTTTTGTGATATTGTTTCTGGTGGTAACTAGTATTGCTTCATAGCCATCATGTCTGCTCTCTTCTGCAGAAGCATCTTTCTTCTGGCCAGCAGATTCTGCAGAGACTAAACTTGAGACAAGTTCAGTATATTTCTGTCTGGCATTATCCTGAGATGAAAGAAAAAAAAAATAAGAAAAGAAAAATCACACAAGATTGTCAAAGGCTGAAATGGAGACCAGTTGTTTTACGATTCATACAATGGCTACTGGATGGGGGGTGGGGGCTGTGTGTGAAGAGGGAACTGTGCTTCAGGACCAAATTAAAAAAGATCTCAATTAGAAAGCATTCTAATTAGGATGAGAAGAGGAACATGCTGTATTTAAACACTGCAGATCATGCTTAAAAGTCATCTAGAAAGCAGCAGCAATGGATCTGCAAAATAAAAGTGCGTAGATGCTGGGATGATGACATTTATTTTTTTGGAGAAGTGACCCCATCCACGCCTAAGATTACCAGAGAGACCTTTGTTGTGTTCCCAGGATTTACGCATTTCTATGGATCCTTTGTTTCTGCCTTCCAGTTGGACATTTCTCCAACAAAAGAGAAGTTTTTATTTTAGAACATATGTTGCTGAAAATGAGAGTGCTGAAATGGGCCCATGGCATTTTAAAATTGCTTGAAGACATTAGTTTTCATTTAGCACAAACATGACATGCAAAAACCTAAAGAATCTTGTGTCCGTATTTCTACAGTAAGCAGTAATTTGAAAGAATTGTAAGTTCTTGCTTGTTACAACCTATTTTCTTGAAAGGATAATATACTTTGAATAATTCTATAATCCATAACCTGTAGCACATGAAATTGTCTATTCCATCTCCACTTAACTTCAAGAGTAGATTCTTTTCCATAAGTGTTTCTTGGCTATTCCTAAGAGCTGCAGAGCCACCTCAAAAAAACCCAAAAAAAACAACAAACACCCCAAAAACCCTAAAGCAGTAAAAGAATATGCTATGCCTATGAAATTATGCAAGGATGTTTTCTTTTAGAAGAAAAAAAACCTCTTTGTATTAAGTGATATCTTTGACTGACCTCAGACACTACTCCTGAACAGCAGCCTAACGCAGCAGTGACACCACTGGTTTGTAAAGCTTATGTTTCCTTCATTTAGTAGTAGCTGAAGAAACTGTGGTAGCTATACGTGCTGTCAGACTTACTACAGTCTGCATGAAAAATGAACACTTATGTATCTTTGCATCTATATTCTTCCTGGTCACCTCACTTGAAGCAAAGACTTCTCTAAAGGTTATGAAAGGTATTAAAGATGTCAAGATATACTGAGTAAGAGTGAAGAGAGGCCCTTAATACACCACTTTTTCCTAGCCTTTTAGTCAGTGGCATAACAGACTGACTCTCTAAAATGACAAAGTTATCAATATGCTGGATTCACAAATTTGGTTTTTGTTCTAAGAACTGAGAAGATCTATCCATCTTTCCTAAAGAGAAGAGCAAAAGAGAACAATGTGAAAACCACTACTTTTATTGAAAGTCAACACATATGTAAGGTATCTTACACTGGTACAAGCTGGCAGTAATAATGTAGAACTAGGCTCACACGGCAAAAATACCTCCAAACACTGAAGCAGTGAAATGACTGTAAAATACAGTGTGAAACATTTTGATGTCTGAAGCAGAGTAGCTCAACAAGCACATAGTATGTTTAGACATCAGCCATCCACTTACAGACCAGGCACTTCAAGGTAGAGTAATCTACAAAGTATGTAAGTGAAATTACAAGTATTGTCACCTGAGACAAACTGCCAAGAGAATTCCATGCATCCCACTTGGCTTTCTTGACAAAGTCCAGCACACCTGGTTTTGGAGAATTGCAGGGACCTTCAGTAGCCTGAAAAGAGAGTGAAACAAAAACTTACTTAAACCTTTGATTAAAGTTCAGATGACTTGGTAGAAAAGATGATGACTGTTAGGAATATTTATCTGATCATGACACAGAATTCAACTCTGGGGCAGAAGGAATACCTAGTGGTTGGGCAATATTCAGACAGTTCACGTACCATCAAGTTTTCAATATCCTAATACCTGGTGCTGGGCTTTCAGAAGCACCTACCCAACACGAGACATTAGTTTCCAAAACACCCAAGCATGTTAAGTTCTCCTCTCTCAAAAACTGTGTAAGTTTTATACTTAAAAAGAAAGTTATAGATTTGGAAGCTGTGTGAACAAAGAAACCATTGCATAGGATCTCTTAAGCTGGATCTTACTCAAAGTTGGTCCTACTATGAGCAAGGGCATTGGACCAGTTGAACCGCAAGAATCCAAGCTATCCTGAAGTATTCTATGATCAGTTTTCCTGAAGAAAAGTACACTATTGGAAAGAAATATTTCAAGCGGGAGGTAGGAAAAAAGAATACGTTTATGAGCTCACTATTATTAAATAGTAAATCTACCTCGAATGGCCAGCTAAGTTTTTATTTAAAGTAGAGACTGATTGCCTTCTTCAATATAACAAGCCACAGCCTGTACTGACCCTGCAGCCAATACTGATCCACAAATATTTCCCCAAATACCAGCACAAACCCCGCTAAGGACTTGCAGCTATTTCTACAAAGGTCTCCTTCCATGCTATACTAAAGAATAACCTTCACTCAAAGCATGGAGGAATAGGTCCTTGAATTTAAAACATAAAAACACACACAAACAAAAGACTACAACCACCATGCAAAAAAAAAAAAAAAAACAAAACAACACAACAGAAAGAAAGGAGGAAAGAAAAAAAAAACCAACCAGAAATCAACCTCCAAGCACCAATACCATTATATTATATCCCAGATGACTGACTGTAGATAAAACAAATTTAAGAGGAAGCATGTGGCATACTCCTTTTCTCTAGGCATAAGCCATTTTGCAGAGCTGCATCAATATATGCTATACTATAAGGAAGGCATCACACAATTGATGTAAATTGGCTCCAATTCTTTGAATAAAGGTTTCCATTCAAAACATGATTTGTAAGATGAAACAGGTTTGACTTCCCTCAGAATTCAGGCAGGGTTTGAGAGGCTGCCCTTTCAAGAACAGAATTTGAGCACCTGAAATTGAAGAGCTTGTTAAGACAACGCATTTCAAGAACTCCTATTTTAACTAAGTATTTTACAGGTACATCCTCTTTGATTATAAATGCCTCTTAGGAAACAGAGTAAGTCAAGCCTACCTGTTTAAACAGAGCGTAGAGCTTCAGCTTAGTTTCATTCCCAGGATCCTTTTTCAAAAGCTTCAGTTGTCCTTGAGCCTTTTCGAAGTCTTTCTGTCTGACTTGCATGGTGGCTGCACACATGCGCAGGTGAACTGCTGGAATGCAAAGTGCTTGCGTGTGCCTGTTAGTAAGAGGAAAAAAAATCCCGTTGCTTGTTTTTGTGCAAGACTTGAGAGAAAATCATATACTGCTTTTTAAAGTAAATGTAAAACAATAAATATTTGTACCTGCACTGATTAAAACACAACAAGATTCTAAACTTTACAAGAAAGTTGCTTTATAAGTTGCTTTAGCTGCAACATAATTAACCTTCGGAGAATAGAACCTTATCTCTCTCTCATACGTAAAGTGCTAGATTTACTGCTACCAGATGACAAAGAAACTATGCAGTAATATACCAGATGATCATATATAAACATTGCAATAGCGGTAAACTAATGCTTTGCTGTTCCTGGAATAAATCAGAGCCCTACAGGTTCTGTCCAGAACAAACAAGAAACACACAAATCTTTTATTGCTGGTTCAAATCTCCATATGCAACGTTAACAGCTTTATATGCCTATGACTTAAAATCGTTATGCAGCCTGTCCATTTTTTGTGATCTTTTCAAGTTTGTGTGCTTCTGTCTAGAAATACTTCAACCTGAAAGCCTGGTTCTCTAATCAGGGCACTGTAAGTGAAGACTAATTTCAAAATGTATTTTGGAAAAGGACTGGCTGTAAACCAGCCTGTAAGCAGTGGGAAAAAAAAGAGGTGGCCAAAATACCGTGAAGAACTCTCGACTAGAAAACAAGGTAATTCCATCACAAAAACCAACCACGACAAAAAATCCACTCCAAAGAACCAAACCTAACCCACCCTATAATGCTTTGTAAAAGCAGGTTTACTTAAACAGCGTTTGGCATCAAAAGCCACTAAGTCTAACAATTTTGGCTTGTTTCAATAGGGCAAAAACATGTTGTCTCAGCTTTCTTTGGTTAAATTGCAATATACGTTAAGTATTTTTACTATTTTTAAAATGTCAGCAGTTTATATACCAACATTCCTTCTCTATTTTAGTAAAAAGAGAATGAAACAAACCAGCTTTCCTCATTCTAACTTAGACACAGCTGTCATGTTAGATCATCATATATGATAGATTTCATGACAGACACATTTGAAAAAGTAATGATTATGTCAAATTCAGACTGATAAAATGTTTAATCATTTAATCTGTTAATATTTCAGTTACAGAACCATCAGTTTAAAATCATACCTAACATGAAAATTCTGCCTTTTATACACCTAATGAGAATTTTACAGAAATTCTCCTACCTACTTTGAAAACGCCCTCATCATTCTTATTTCTTGAATTTGTTTTCTGTTGCAAGCCTAAAAGTTGCAGGCAGGAAGTGTGAAGAATGCCAGCTGTGTCAAATTAATTTTATTACTCTTTCATCTCATGTAGATAGAAGGTTTCAGTTGTCTTGTAAAAATGTTTGTAACATCTATTTGGTTTATGTCCTATTACAGCCCTTCAGTATTAACAAAATCTAAGTTCCTGGTATTTTGGGGCTACCAAGTTTGAATGACAGAAACTGAAAGAATATTTTCTGTTCTACGACGATATTCTTTCAGAAAGAATTTCAGAATCTGCATCAAAATCTTATGCTAGTAAAAAGAAATTTATCTGAACAATACAAAATGGAACAGGCTCTTAAAAAAAGGCTGCAGGAACGGAAAGTTTTCTTAAATTCATCAACTGTAGGCCTTCATTAACACAGCAGCACACCCAGGCAGACGTGGGTTCACCATCTGCCAGTTTAACTAACATTCAAACTGATGACTGTGTCAGAGTTTAACAAGTTTATCCCTTAACCAACTAGAAGGTTATTTAGCCAACTTGTGCACTTCACCTCCAGCACCAAGAAAAGCCCTTTGACAGTAAGAAGTGTACCTAAATGGATATAGATACAAGTTTTTTATACCAAATTTCTTTGATTAGTCTGTCCTGGAGTCACAGCACATGACGCTCACTTTCAAACCCTATCCCCAAATGCGTTTTTAAAGTCCCATTTACAGGAAGAAGAAAATGAGAGTGCAGGGAGACGACTAGTGGTTTCTTTTGGTTTTGTTTGTTTTTCCTCTAATTTTGCTAGCCATCTTTGGAACTACTTGAATGCTGCTGTACCCAAGATGATCTGTGTATCTGGTAAAATTTTTTTTGGTCAGTCTAGGGCTATACTGAAGTGGATTCAATCTTTAAAAAGGGAGATTTGGGTTTACAACATGTCTGACAATTTGGACTTCATTCCAGCTTGGCTACAGTCAATATTATAAATAGATTTGAAGAATGTCTTCCATATACGATTTGATAGTGATCATAAATTAATGGAGTTGAGGATGAGCAGATGGGGAGATGGGAACGGCATAGCAGCCAGTCTGAAGGTACGTATGCACATATATTCAGGGTTAAGGGGTTTTGGCATTTAGCAGGTCACACGTTCTCTTCCTTATTAAGGGTGTAAAGTGGACAAGTTAGTAGATGACGAGAAAACAATTAGGCGAATTAAAAAAATCTGGCTGGGGAAAAGTGGAATGATCTTTCAGTTAAGTCTGGACTCAGAGCTACTTTCCTTTGCTGTTTCGTTATATCCAGTTTTACTTCTTAGCTACAAAAACGCTTGAGGAAAACATGTTATCTATCCACTTCAAATACTCCATCTTTCATTCTTCTTTTCCTCTTTACCTCTGCTTTGTAATAGGAGATTCTGCAACTTAGCTGTTTATTAAAGTCTAAAGTTTATAAGGTCTCTTTTCTTTAGTTCTTCCTTGCTGCATGTAGCTCAGTTCTCTGCAGGATATCTATGATTCACCCCTTCCTCTCTGCCATCTGATCTCAGAGGACATTTACTATACGTTAGTGATGATCTCCAGTTTTCAACATGCTAAGGCTAAGCTGGCTGCTACTATTTCTCTATGAAAATAACAAAGGATGAAAACACAAAAAATTCAGTTATTTCACAACTTATTCACCTTGGGCAGGACCTCATTCTTCAGAGATACACAAATAGCAGGAGCAGAGCTCCTTGACGCCAAATAGATCACATAAAGAGCAAGGAGGAGATCGACTCATCACCTGTCAGCACACACAGCAACACTGCCATCTCTGGGACCACACAGTGATGCTGTGCCACAATCCCGAAGATGGAGGAGCAGGAGAGGCTGCTGTAGCCCACTACAGGAAGGGCTTCCTCCTTCCATCTGCTGCTCCCTTGCTGTGACACTGAATCCTTCTTACTCCCTCACTGAGCAAATCCACACCTCATTTTAGCAGCCTCGCTGAAACCACACAAGGCAGACAGAGAGCCTGGAACCTGACCTACAAACTACTGGTGTCGAACCAGCACTTGTTTCAATGGGAGCAGAAAAGCCGGTTAGTAAAGGCCATCAACCCCCCCTCCCATATTCTGCCTTCTTATCTACTCACTGCAACAAAGCTAAATGATTTCCCCTGCAAAGCTTCCTCCCTTTATTGCCCTGCACCTTGCAGCTGCCACTGCCCCACTGCTACAAATTACCTTTGTTGTACTGGCACCCATAGAAGAGCAGTGAGGGCCTGGCAACCTCCCCCAGCTGGCAAAAAAAACAGCTTCCACCAGAGTGAGAAGCAAGAAGAGTCACAGCTTGGTAAAGCAGCCGCAAAGTCCACGACAAATGCCTGCACACTGCTGCAAGATCATTCACTCGGTGCTTCGCAAGCTGTACACTCTGAAAAGAGAAATAAATCCTGGACATCACTGCCTGAACCTGAAACATCCAAGCTGACAATCATTTCATATTTGTTCCCATTCAGCCATTCAGGATATTTTGCAAGCCCATTGTACTCATTCTACTTGTTCACATAAATGTCTCTTTTCCTCACAAACATTCAAACATAAGGCTTTTAATCAAGATTTTTAATGTCAATTACACTGAAAGTAGTTTCTCAGTGTTTAGTAAAGACTGCAAAGCCTGTTAAAGACAGGGCCTCTCATTACAATATAGCTCTGCCAACTGCGTAAGGACTTAGAGTTAAAAATGCCAACTTTTTGTAAAATGCTGGCTGCTCACTTTCTAACTTCTAAAGCAACGTAGCAGTTTCCTCATTAAGACAAAACAGAAGCCAAAAGATCTCTTTGCATAGGAAACATCAGACATGCTCACCAAAAGAGGGACGGATATACCTGAACTCCATCTTCCATTTACTTAATAAAGCTTTTCTTTTAAACATTAGTAGATCCTGGGGAAATAAAGCACAGACAAAAGCTGTTAAAAATCCTATTAGGATTAAAAGCAGCGGGTGGTGCTAGAAACACGTGGGTTTAACACTCCCGACAGAACTGGAAAATGCTCATTTCACATTATTTAACTAGCTTTAGAGAGACAAGGAAGAAAAAAGAATAGGAAGTGTTACCAGACAGAAATAAGCAGTATATGAAACTGTCACTCAGATGGATCCTGGGTTATATGTTTAATAGAACATGTGGATATCTTTTGCACATTATGTGTAATACTTCAGATAACGCATACGACATCTCTTCTCTGCCATGATCACTGTCTCAAGGTGCTGTGACCTTTTGTGCTGTTCTTCCCATACTTTCCTCATGCAGATCAGTGAGCAGCACAGTAACTGCCCCATACCATCTTGCATAGACCTGATATTACAGCATCATAAAAAGAGGCAACATTTCCGCTCACATTCTTTCGATCTTAAGAGAAAATTAAACAAAATACTGTTTTGCTGCTGCTACTGTAGAATGAGTTGTATGGGTTCGGTTTTTTTAGGATACAAAGCAACCAATTCCCACAAACCTTGAGGCACCAGGTGTTTGGTTATAACCTAAAACAAGCTTCTGATTCCCTGCCTCTCCAAGACAGACAGCACACATTGGCCAGCTCAGCCCATCACCATTTCTGAGGCGACAGCCAGAGTCTCAATTGTTCTACAAGGTTCAGGAGTCCAAAACTTATCCAAATCACTTCACTGGCTCTGCTCCAACACCAGCAATCGCTGCTCTGAGAGGCTGCTCCAAAGTCAAGCAGGGGAGCAAGCAAACAAGACCTCTTTGCTCCCTGTCCTGCTGCTGCTGGGACACACACATCCACAGCAGAGGAATCATGAGCCCTCCCTGGTGGGGTGACCAGGGTAGTCCTTGCCTGCTGGTGCCTGGCCATGGAGTATTCCTGCTCCAAGCAGAGTCCCAGGCTTCAGTCCTCCTCTCTCAGTAGCATTTCTCCCATCTCGATCCTCCCTCAAAATTATCCTGATTTTTCTCCCTGGAAGAGACAGAAAGGGATCTGGAGAAGGAATAGCAACCTTTGATGATTAGTTCAGCTACATAAAGGGATCCAGGAGCAGAGCTGGTGGGAAAGGTTGCCACTGATGGCAATTGCACTAACTGTTAGGAAATGAAGCATGTGAGGGGAATAGAAACCAGTATTTAAGCTGTAACTGTGAGAAAACAAGTGGACTGTCTGGAAAAAAATTCAACCTGAGACACTGACTTCTCTTATTTTTTCCCCCCCAAGACTTCATATCAGAATCTCCAAAAAGAAGATTAAAAAAAAGGAAAAAGAAAGGTTGATAACCAAAGAGTGACAATGAGCAAAGCATTAGCAGTACCACAATTTTGTAGCTTTCTTGGTAACTAGGAAAATAACATTACTGTTTTCCATATTCACTTGCAGTATTTTCTGCATGCAATAAATTTAAAGTTGTACTTCACTTTATTTTGCTGAATGAGAGAAAGCTACTGTCTACACTGTTCACATAAAAATAATTAGAAATTTTAATCTCCAGATTGCCCAAATTACCGTTCATCATGCCATGGCTTATACGCTACTGAATCCAAACAGATATTTACCTACCCAATAATGTAATATTAAGGATTCCTAAACTTTTGCTTACCCTGAGCACTTACACAGCAGTATAAGAGCTTGCCCTGTATAGCTGAAAGGTGGAGAGGGCTAATGCCAAATTTCTGCCATTTTCAGTCCTCCAGTTATTCTCTCCATACAAACTACCAAGTGCTGAGCTGGAAAAAGAGGCACTTGACAGTGCTAAAGCAAACTGAGCAGCCTGCATCACGTTTGCAGCAATCATTCCTCCTTTGCAGCAATCATTCCTCCTTTGCTCCAATCATTCCTCCTTTGCTCCAATCATTCCTCCTTTGCTCCAATCATTCCTCCTTTGCTCTCAGAGGAAAAAAAAAAAAAAAAAGGAGCGGTATGTAGTGGGGTGGCTGGCTAATTAATACAGAAACTCTGGGCAGAGGTTCTCCTGGCTGTAGAAGCAAAGCGACCCTCTCTTTCTTTATGCCATCCTGTTACAGGCTTCTCCCAAAAAACTTCAGATCATTGGACTATACACACTGTTTCTTGTCACATAATCTTTTCACGTTGTTTCTTTTTCTTTTTTTTTTTCCCCCCTGCAGAATTATTTTGTTTTTCATGAGTGTCTATCAAATGAATATGATGTCCGTTACAATATCTTGTCAGACTTTTAGGCGGAAAGCAGTATCCCTGCAAGTTCTACAGGCAGACTTTCTTACAAACAGGAGTTCTGTGGTAGGCAGTGCTGGTGTCATACTACAGAAACCTCAGCTTGACAGCTCTTACACTAATAAAGTCAAATTACCTCAGCTGTTAATTTCTAGTGCTGTCCTTTCAAGTGTCTTCTCTCATACTGGGAAATGTGGAGTAACCGTATTTGACACAGAAACATCTTCCTCTGCAACTTCCGTCATCCTGAAAAAGCCTGCATTTGCTTCCACAACCATCCCATGTGAAAACTTCTGCTTCCCCTCATTTGTGTGCACCTCTTTCAAGCTCCTCTGCCATTAATTAAAACTAAAACAATTCAGAACATAGGTACATGAAATTCAGTCTTCATTCAGAAAATAGAGAAGCAGAGACTGCCTCTAACAATTTTTGCCTCTTCAAATTTCACTAACTGGTACATTTTCTAGTACCTAGCAACTACAAAAAAGAAGGAAACACAGCTAAATAATTGAGTTGTTCCTTCTAGTTAAATCCAAAACCCCCACTTTTCATGACAGCAGCCTTTGTACCTGACAATCAACAAGCCAACTAACTCGCAGTAACTACTGCATACAAAGCAGTCTGCACTTTCCCCACAAGTTCACAGGCTTACTCTGCTAAGCCCTGCATTGCTATCACCTGCTAACATGCACGGTGGCTGTAGGTTAGCAGTAGGTTAACACCACCTTAGCAGCAGTCATTTTATTTCTGTGTGCAGCAAGAACCAATGCACACATCTGTTTGGCAAAGCAACGCTACTGTTCACCAGGCTCCTGCAGAGACCTATCGGCACCAGCACCTCACCTCATAGACCAAAAACCAGTAGCCTAAGAAAGTCAACTGGAACCAAGCTTATTCTCTAGAAATTAATACATTTGGTTCACTTGGGGAAATACCAGGTTTTATTAACCACGGCGATAACATGGAGGTGTCAATGACTCAGTAGACAGAACTCCAGTTTTCCTAAAAACCATAAGAAAGTAACTATCCCTCCCTGTTCCACCAACACAGTCCCTGGCAGCACCCCATTGTCCTGTAGAGCTAGTGTGGAGTAACAAGTGTATTGCTACCAGGCGACAGAAATGCTTGTAGGGTTCTGGTATTTCCAACACATCCAGCTAGCATAAATGACCAGTGCAAATACTCTACAACTAATTCACTTACTGCTGCTTTAATAAACAGAAAGGTATGAAAGTAAAATTATTTCCTCCATTACATTAGAACATTTCAATAGTCATTCTAAACATGTTTGGTGTACAAATCCTTATCAGCTTTTACTATTTTACACTCCTACGCTGTTTTGACATACAAGAACCGGAAGATAATGATGTGTCTGTTGGCAAATTGAAGTGCTGAATCACTGTTGTTTAGTATAAGTGGCTCAGCTGTGCTTGATAGTGGGTTTTTTCAATATTAAAAAATAGCTAAGAATCAAAGACCTAGATTACCATTCACTGAGAGCTGAAACGGTCTGCTTTTTATACTCTATACAGGTACAGTTAATATTCTCTCATCACAGCTGCTGGGAGGGAAACTGGGATCATCTCCTGAAATCTCTGCAAAAGCTCTCTCTTTCCAGCAGACTTAACTGGACATGATTAATGACTAAAGCATGATAGAATTTCCTGTACATCCTCAGTCCATGTAAGACATTTCTGCAAGCAGGAAGATTTACAGACAGATATCCTCTGAAACACATTTAAAAGTTATAAAACATGAGTGTTAGCAGAAAAATATAGACCTACGATACTCATATATGTGACATTTGCTGAGAATCACTCAAAGTTTATTGCGTTATTTGGAGAGCACCAAACTCAAATGGGTTCTTTATACATCCTTACCCAATGCAACTTTAATAAAACAGTTATGAACAAATACTCAAAATAATTTTGCTGTTAATGGAGAAAGGAAAAAGCTATTTTTATTTGGCTTCCAGGGACAAATCCTGCTGATTGTATGGAGAGCAAGAAAGTGTACAATTTGATGTTAATGGCTTTTGGCCAAGGTAGGTAGGTAGGTTTCTGACACGAACACTGTAAAAAGCTTAAATCATAGCATTTAGAAGGCTGCACTTATAGCAGCAGCTCTCAAGATAGAGGTCAGAGGCAGACGTTGGATTGTGGCAGTTATTAGTGGGGATGCAACATGTACAGAGTTACACTGGCTTCTGCTATCACTGTAGAAATTATGAAGAACTATCGGTCTGGGAAAGTGGCCGACAATCCAAATAACTTGGAAGTTCTTCCCCAGAGTAAAAGTGTGTTTCATCTGGCATCTTACTGGCAGTTAAGAATAACAACACAAAACCAACCAGAAAGATTCTTTTGTTTCATGCTATACTGATGTGTTTGAAACAGTAAGCATTTTACAAGCACATTTATCATGGTATAAAATGAGAGCATATTTGAAACAAAAATTTGACTCCATTTTAATGGTTGGCTTCTAAGGACCAAATTTTTCAAGAATTATTGTGCAGTCTGTGCGACCTGCTCTAGGTGGTGCTACTCTGGCAGGGGGGTTGGACTAGGTGATCTTTCGAGGTTCCTTCCAATCCCTCACATTCTGTGATTCTACGAGTTATATACGTCTCATACCATATTTTCAGAATAAATATTATCAGAGCATCTTACTGCAACATCAGTAGCCACTTTTTCAGAGGGCCAAAGAGTCAGCAAAGAATTCATACAACAC